GCTCCAAAATATGCGTGGCTCAACATTGGGGAAGGGGAGGGGCACATTTGAGTGAGAACAAAAGTGCAAAGAGTGAATAAGAAATTTTAGAGATAATTCAAGAGAAGCAGTGTCTGTTTCATTGATTTGTGAGGAGTATTTTAGTTACTGACCATGCATGGTTTTTAGGCAAAATCTCTTGGCTTGCTGGATCCACCCACAAAGGGACGAGGAAGAGGAGTTGTAAGAGGACGTGGCAGAGGAACACCAGTGAGAAGCAGACCACTTCCAAGAACAACACGGGTGTGGACAAGAGACAGTGCTTCATTAGACCATCGACCAAGGCGGATCAGTGTTGGAGAAATAACAACTGAACAGAAGGAAGATATTACAGAGCACTTTAAAGTAAGTACTATGATTTTTTTATGGCTACTTTTCAAAGCTGAAGTGAATCTATGTTGCTCAGGAGAATAGTTGTGTCTGGGGCAAGAAGGGCCCATCTCACAAACTTGTCCAAAAGATGGCCTTTAATTTACTTTCACGACTTGATCCTTTAAGGTTGCTGACTGTTGAAGTAATAATGTCAAACACAAAACACTATAAAGTGTTTCATGTGATGTTCAGGCCCCAAGAAGTGTTTTGAAAATGAGGCACAGCCAAGTTTTGAAATACCCACTTTGAAGACTCTGGATATTGGATGAAACACAGAGCGGAATTTAATACAAAAATGTATAGCTTCTCTCACAAACAAGAAGTTTTGAGGAAATACAATGCTTAAGTTCACAATCGTTTTGCGGTTGCTGTCAAAGTAGTGATTTCCTTGGTTGGTCTTTTTTGGAGAATCAAACTCATCTGTGGCCTTTGATTTACATTTGAATTTGTTAGATTTGATTTCTTCCTGTCCTAATTCTTTTATGTATTAAGACTGAGAATTTATAAAGCTGCAGCCAGTGAAAGTGTGATTTATTAGAATAAAGAAAGATGGATAATTTACATGTGGCTGAATGTAATTTAGGCTAAGTTAGACACGGAACCATGCTGGCCATAGTTGGATGTACGGTGTCCTGGTTTATAGTTGCGATGAAATGCAAGAAGAATGTTACAATAGAGCGTTGGGCATCACTGTTTGTACATTAATAGCTGCCTTTTTGTTTTCTTCCTGTAGGAATTCGGTATTGTTGACAATGAAGAATATATTGATGATAAGGAAACTCTCAACTTGACTTTTAGGACAAGAAAAGAAGCCGAAATTGTAAGAATAATGGGCATTATCCATTTGGTCAATGTGTATTTCTAGTATCTATCTGTCTTATGTCCAAGCCAATTCCTCCCTACCTCCTTTGTATGGGTTTACTTTGTATTGCATTAACTTATAAAGATCTTTGGATGATAGTACTGCAGTGGGGTACTTTGCATTGAGAAATCCATGTTTTGATTTTTTTTTTGTAGAGTTGTAGACTGTGAGTGGTCTCTAATTCGCCCCCAAACAGTTAACTTTAATAGTTGAGTTGTAATGTGTGAGTGGTGAGCAGCTACTCCCCTCTCCTAACATTCAGTCCCACACAAGGCCATTTTTTATCTCCCCTTTTTACTGGACAGATTAAGAAAGAGAGATTACTTGTAGTCCAGTTGGATTGGGAAATCCTTGAAAGGATTTGAAACATTATCGACCATACCCTACGACATCCCAAAATTTAGTTTTGAAGATTTGCGGTTATTAATCGATATTGTTTTATACTGTCACTGGCTTTTAAATCAGGGCTTTATACAAAAATTTTATTATTTTTAGGCCTTCAATAAAGGGAAGACATTCAAAGGCAGAGCCTTGAAGGTGTCTTGGTATCGACCTCCATTGACGCCTACATCACCTGCAACAGCAATACCAACTACACCTACGACTCCTACAGTGCTCAAGAAAGTAGAGGAAGAGTTAGGACTGGATATTGATGCTGAACTGGTAAGAACTCTGTGAAATATAAACGTTTTGTGTATGTGTTGTGGTGTCCTAAAAAGAGTTCCAAAGTGATAACGTTATAAAAATTAAAATTTGAAATTATGGGATTTGTCAGGATAGCCTGTAAGAACAACATGCAAGAGGCCTACTTGCCAAAAACTGGCATTGTGGGGCAAATTGTCTCTGAGGTATTAGCCCAGTTATGCTCTGATGACTCCATGCAAATCCTTCTAAATTTGACTTGGGTCATAACGTTATGACATGAGTCAAATTTATCTATTTGTAAAGACCATATCAATGCGCATGCCCACTCAATATCCCATCTTTTACTAATATGAATAGAGAGTAAGGCTTTCTTGTTAGGGAGCCTTTCAGAATTCTTTTGTTTTGCTGTTAGACAACGGTTTATTTCAGAACAATTTATTTTCCGTTTGTTTTTTAGGGAAAACATGAATTTGATGCGGATGCAGACGAAGCTTTGCTTCTTGGAGAAGATTTTGATGAAGAGGATGAAGAAGAAGATGAACGATCGTGGAAAAGATAGTTACAACTATTGTTTAAGTTGATACGGCAAAACTGCGTCGAAGGATTGTAAAATAATTGTCATGATTTAACTGTTTCAGACTTGTAACTAAAGTGAGCTTAACTTTCTGTAACATTGTAACATCAAGCGTTAACTTCAGTGGATTCCAATCGTCTTTGAAAGAGCAAGGTTTCTTGTGTCCATTTCTTGTAAAACACACTGTCTTCGCTCTCCAAAGTCAAAGGCTAAGAGATGATACCCATCTCGATTTTTTATTGAAAGATACTTGTCTTTGACCTAGTTTAGGTTTTACTGTCTGTTATATTCATATTATAGTACTATAAGTTAAGTTGTAGTGAATACTTCTTTGTATTTTTGTGAAGGCCTGAGGAAGCAAAAAAAATGAAAGTGATGCTTAAAAAAGATATCAGTGGAAAAGAAAAGCAGAAAAATATTGAAAGTAAAAAAATGACTTCAGATTCACAATAAAAAATACTTCACATTTGAAAAGATTAAAGAAAACAACAACAACAACAACAACAAAAAACAAACCAAAAATCTTACAAAAGTCAATGACCAATTCTTGTCTATGGTTACATTGTGACTGTTGATTAGAAGAGCACTGGAAAAGTGTTTTTGCTGACTGGACGAAGAAAGTTGAAGGCTGAAGAAGTGGCAAGAGTAGGAAAACAGAAGCCAAGAAGAAGATACAAGATTTGAATGCAGTAGGATGAAGTGTTCTAAAAGCAGTAACAACGCTGAGGACAAGTGAGGTGAGTATACTGTATACTTTATACATGGTAATTTAATATCTGTTCCAAATCTCCAATCAATGTCTCACGTTCCTCAAGTAGACAGTTGACTCCCATATAAAGGAAACTAGATTTGCTTTAATTTTCAAACAACATTGCATAGAGTGAGGTGGAGAAATAGGAACACAGAAAACGAGCATTTACTATTAAAATACTAGACGCCACGTGGGCGTTCACGTACGTTTCGGTGACGTCCATGGTTTTGGCCCTTTTCGTTGCCGCCGCCGCTCAGCATTTCACGATTTTATATTTTGTTTGAGTGAACTATAGACATAACGTGAGCTTCCCTTGTAGCCCGGGCTAAATCTATATATTGTAATGATAATCCAAGACTACGATAAAAGATCGCCAGGTTTCTTTCTTTCTTGTTACAGTTACAGCTGAGAAACTGAACACAATTTTCTCGTGAAAATGTCTGATTTCGTCTCCATTTCATAAAACTTGCGTCCATTACGTTTTTTATATGCGAGTCCGCTTATACAAACACCCGGTTAATTACGGACTCTATTAGCCGGGCTCCACTGTATTGCCTTTATCTAGGGTGAATAGTGTACAACTATCCCCCGAAGGGGAGGTGAATAGTCGTAGAAGGTATACATCTAGCGCTGTTCAGCGACCCTGAGAGAATAGCTATTTTAGTATTTACCAAATTAGATGGACAAAAATGAAAAAAAAGTAACTTTTTAAAATTAAAAACGTCACTTAGTAGGAGCTTTGAGCACAATTTACAACATTTTGGGGATTTTGTCAGGGGCATTTTTACGATTTTGTTGCAAATTCAGCATGAAAATAATTTTCTACCTATCAGTAAACACTGACAATCCAAAGTTCGTCGCTTTCTTGGTATTTGTTTGTACGACTTCTTCATTTTCACTCAAATTTCGTCTTTCGAACATGTCTCGAAACCAGACGCCATCTTGACTCCGGTCGCAAACCAGTCAATAGCCAAGGATATTCTGCGTTACGGGAGCCAATCAAAACGCGCGAAAATTGCTTTTCACTGATTTGGTAAATACTAACGCCAAATATAGCCTTAAGTATTTGAGTTATCCTTTAGCATCTCTTGTGTGATATACAAGAAGTTTATTTTAACATTTTCCAATAGGGGTTTTCAATGTCGATTTACACTCAGTTACAAAGAGCAGTAAAACCTGGCTAATTGAAAAACTACTAAAACAAGTATTTAAAAATACCGTTGCAATACTGCTTTTTATGCCGACTCGTTTCTGCGACCTCTCCAATGGATAATAATATTAATCTAAAAATCAGCAAGTTTCAGAAAACGCAGTGACAAGAATAAACGTTGCAGCGCTCCTGGGGCCCGTTTCTCTCTAAAGTCCCGATAACTTTCCGGGCCCGAAAACAAATATTCAAATCGAAATACAAAGAATAAGAGCGCGGGTCCCGGCTAGCAAAATTTTTCATCACAAGCAGATAACCCCGAACGGGGTTATATGCTTCTGGTTTCATTAACTGATAACTTTATCATGTTAGATGCAAACCTATTGAAAGTTCTATCTTGCATGTAAACAACAACAGCTTTACGGACCCGTTAATTATCGGGACTTTCGAGAAACGGGCCCCAGGTCATTTACTGGCCAGTTATTTGTTTAGCTACTAATAGATATGATTTACCAAATTTTTGCGCTTATTCCTCCCGTTTATTTTATAACTTGTCATTATTTTCCTGTCGATTTTTCCGCCTAAATACTTTGCCAAATAAAGAACGCCCTTATGACAATTTTTTCTGCACGGCACGTAATTCATTTAAGCTGCTCATCGTATCTCCGTGCTTACCAAACAGATTAGTTCTCATGTCTAATGCTTTTTGCAAAGATTCCAATGCTCCTTTCAAGTCTCCCATTCCATGTTGCACAACACCAAGCTCATGGTAGCTGCTGGCAGTGTCTTTGTGACCACCAAGCAGATTCGATCTCATGTTTGCTGCTTTTTGTAAGGAGTCCAAAGCTCCTTCAAGGTCTCCCGTGTCACGCTGCACTGAACCGAGCTCGTGGTAGCTGGACGCCGTGTCTTCGTGATCACCAAGTAGATTTGATTTAATCTGTATTGCTTTTTGCAAGGAGTCTAAAGCTCCTTCGCAGTCCTGTATTTTAACCTGCGCCATGCCGAGGCTGTGGTAGTTGGTTGCTGTGTTAATGTGATCTCTGCGGAGATTGAAATTCATATCTGCTGCTTTCTGAAGTGACTCAACAGCTGAGTTAAAATCACCCATGGCAAAATGGATAAAACCTTGTTCATAAAAGCTTTCGGCTGTATTGAGATGATCTCCTAGAAGCTCCTTCGTCATTCGTAAGCTGACCTGTACAGACTCCAAAGCGCTTTTCAGGTCTCCCGCTTTCTTTTGTACTAGACTAAGCTCCAAGAAGCTGGAAGCTGTGTCCTTGTGATCACCAAGCACACTTAATCTCATGTTTGCCGCTCTTTGTAAAGAATCCATAGCTCCTTTAAGGTCTCCCATGTTACGCTGCACTAAACCAAGAAAGTGGTAGCTGGACGCAGTTTCTTCGTGATCAACTAGCAGATTCGATCTCATGTTTGCTGCTCTTTGTAAAGAATCCATAGCTCCTTTAAGGTCTCCCATGTCACGCTGCACTTGACCAAGCCAGTAGTAGCTGGACGCAGTGTCTTCGTGATCACCTAGCAGATTCGATCTCATGTTTGCTGCTCTTTGTAAAGAGTCCAAAGCTCCTTTAAGGTCTCCCATGTCACGCTGCACTAAACCAAGCGAAAAGAAACTGTACGCCGTGTCTTCGTGATCACCAAGCAGATTTGATTCCATGTTTGCTGCTCTTTGTAAAGAATCCAGAGCACCTTTAAGGTCTCCCATGTCGCGCTGCACAAAACCAAGCCAATAGTAGCTGAATGCCGTGTCTTTGTGATCACCAAGAAGATTTGATCTTATGTTTGCTGCTCTTTGTAAAGAATCCATAGCTCCTTTAAGGTCTCCCATGTCACGCTTCACTTGACCAAGCCAGTAGTAGCTGGACGCAGTGTCTTCGTGATCACCTAGCAGATTCGATCTCATGTTTCCTGCTCTTTGTAAAGAATCCATAGCTCCTTTAAGATCTCTCATGTTACGCTGCACTTTGCCAAGAGAGTGGTAGCTGTTCGCAGTGTCTTTGTGATCACATAGTAGATTCGATCTCATGTTTGCTGCTCTTTGTAAAGAATCCATAGCTCCTTTAAGGTCTCCCATGTCACGCTGCACTTGACCAAGCCAGTAGTAGCTGGACGCAGTGTCTTCGTGATCACCTAGTAGATTCGATCTCATGTTTGCTGCTCTTTGGAAAGAATGCATAGCTCCTTTAAGGTGTCCCATGTCACACTGCACTTGACCTAGCCAGTAGTAGCTGGACATAGTGTCTTCGTGATCACCTAGCAGATTCGATCTCATGTTTGCTGCTCTTTGTAAAGAATGCATAGCTCCTTTAAGGTCTCCCATGTCACGCTGCACTTGACCAAGCCGGTAGTAGCTGGACGCAGTTTCTTTGTGATCACCTAGCAGATTCGATCTCATGTTTGCTGCTCTTTGTAAGGAATCCATAGCTCCTTTAAGGTCTCCCATGTCACGCTGCACTTGACCAAGCCAGTAGTAGCTGGACGCAGTGTCTTTGTGATCACCTAGCAGATTCGATCTCATGTTTGCTGCTCTTTGAAAAGAATCTAAAGCTCCTTCACGGTCCCCTATCCCCTAGTCACTAAGAGGAAATTCTTTGGCAGAGAGTAACATTTTTTCGTCGCCGACCTTCTCCCTTCTTTTTGCCTCTTCTATTGCTATGTCATAAAGGCGCTCAAATAACATTTTTTCACCATGCAGTGCAACATAGAGAAATGATTTTGCCTCAGATAACAAGTCTACAACCTTGGTGTAAGTAATGTCATTTCCAGGTCCATTAGAAAGGGATGAAATGATGCACTCACGCTGGTCAAGGAAGCTTCTGAAGGCGCTTGAATAACGTCCTATCAGAAAGTTTTTATTAGCAACTTTACACCGAGAAGTGTAATAGGCGTAAAAGTGAAGCTGTGCGTCTAGAAATACAGCTTCAATCCCTTCGTCATTCTTTACTTCTTCCTTAATAAAGGACCGTAAAAGTGAATGGACTGTAAAACGGCTAAAATTTTCTCCACAATGTATAAGTGACTTTCTCTCCAATGATCGAATGATTTGTTTGGTTTTAACCTCTGATTTTACATTCAATATGGCTTGAGCTTCCTCTATTCCAAACCACTCAGGAAAAACAGAAAGCGAAACAAATGCGTCTCTTTCGGGAATCATGAGCCTTTCAAAAGATGTGTTAATTACAGATTTCAGCCGAAAATCGTCAGGAAAGCTTTCACTATTCAAAACTTCAACTATAGTTGAATTGCTTAGTTCATCTAAAAGCACATTTATGGATATATTTGCTTCCTTAATGATGCTACACATTAGTCGCATGGACATAGGAACGTTTCCACATTCCTTCACTACGCATTTGCAATCACCTTCGGATGCATCTGGTAACAACAGCCTTACCAGATGCGCTGACGAAATTTCATCCAATACGTTAATTTTCTCCAAAAAGATGGAAAGCTTGTGGGTTAAGTAGTCGAGACTTTCGCGAGTAGTTAAGAGAAACTTGACATNATATAACGCCTTGCTCATGAAAGTCGTCGGCTGTATCAGGATGATCTCCTAACAGTTCTTTTCTTAATCGTAAGCTCAACTGTACCGACTCCAATGCTGTTTTCAGGTCTCCCGCTTCACGCTGCACTCTACCAAGCCAGAAGTAGCTTTTAGCAGTGTCTGGCTGATACCACTCACTAAGAGGAAATTCTTTGGCAGAGAGTAACATTTCTTCGTCGCCGACCTTTTCCCTTCTTTTTGCTTCTTCTATTGCTATGTTATAAAGGCGCTCAAATAACATTTTTTCACCATGCAGTGCAACATAGAGAAATGATTTTGCCTCAGATAACAAGTCTACAGCCTTGGTGTAGGTAATGTCATTTCCAGGAGCATTAGAAAGGGATGAAATGATGCACTCACGCTGGTCAAGGAAGCTTCTGAAGGCGCTTGAATAACGTCCTATCAGAAAGTTTTCATTAGCAACTTTACACCGAGAAGTGTAATAGTCGTAAAAGTGAAGCTGTGCGTCTAGAAATACAGCTTCAATCCCTTCGTCATTCTTTACTTCTTCCTTAATAAAGGACCGTAAAAGTGAATGGACTGTAAAACGGCTAAAATTTTCTCCACAATGTATAAGTGACTTTCTCTCCAATGATCGAATGATTTGTTTGGTTTTAACCTCTGATTTTACATTCAATATAGCTTGAGCTTCCTCTATTCCAAACCACTCCGGAAAAACAGAAAGTGAAACAAATGCGTCTCTTTCGGGAATCATGAGCCTTTTAAAAGATGTGTTAATTACAGATTTCAGCCGAAACTCGTCAGGAAAGCTTTCACTATTCAAAACTTCAACTATAGTTGAATTGCTTAGTTCATCTAAAAGCACATTTATGGATATATTTGCTTCCTTAATGATGCTGCACATTAGTCGCATGGACATAGGAACGTTTCCACATTCCTTCACTACGCATTTGCAATCACCTTCGGATGCATCTGGTAACAACAGCCTTACCAGATGCGCTGACGAAATTTCATCCAATACGTTAATTTTCTCCAAAAAGATGGGAAGCTTGTGGGTTAAGTAGTCGAGACTTTCGCGAGTAGTTAAGAGAAGTTTGACATGTTTGCAGTGAGTAAGGATCTCCTCAATGAATCGGAGCACGTGCTGTTTCCGTTTAGCATCTTCAGATTCGAATAAATCATCTGCGTTATCTAATATTAAGACAAAAGGATTTCGAATTTGCTGTAAACATTGAATGACGAGGTCAGACGAGGTAATATGGTGCACCTGTTTATCGTCTACGAACACCCTGAGCAGCTTTGACACTAAATCTTCCATACTTTCCACTGCACGAACGGATGCAAAGTAAACTGGAAAATTCTTCTCTTGTAAGTGATGCGCCACCCTGATGGCCACTGATGTTTTTCCAAATCCAGGAGGACCCCAGACATTAACCAGTCGAGTAACTTCATCTGTTAAATGATGTTCTACTGCTTTGCATTCTTTGTCGCGGCCAACAAAATTCGGTAATTCATCAGGTATGGACGATTTGGGCACAAATAAATCTGAAGAGACAACACAAACAAATTACATTGCAGGGAATAATCAGAACTTTGTAGTAGTAATTAACAATAGTATTGAAAAGACTGAGTTATACGCTCCAGGCTAGGGTGAACATTCAGTCGTCTACGGTACAGTCATCCTTTAATAAAAGGTCTTTTTTAGCATTTATATTGTTCCCCATTGTAGTTCATGTGATTTTTCAAGGAAATTTGTTCCTTCTCTTTAAATACATCATGTGTGTGAAGAAGAAGAAAGTTAGAAGACACAGTTCTTTAGAGTAATATCACGTGACGTGCATTGGGAAAACAAATCATATAAGCAAATCGCGAGCAGTCGTCCTTCTTGCCACGCGCGGCGCGAGCGAAAAAGTGAAATTATGCAAATCAATCATTATGGCAAAAAGGGGGAGAGATTGGGGCTGCCGCCCTCGTTCCTCATCACAGTCATGTTCTCGATCTCCCTAACTCAAAAATAATAATAATAATAATAATAAACAACATATGTAAATGAATTGTATTCAAGCGTATATTTTGCAACCTGTGGACCCTGTGATGAAAACTAACTAACTAACTAAATAAATAAATAGACAGCTAAATAAAGAAATGTTATGCAAAACAGAAAGATGGATATATTTGTAAAAGGTTTCGATGTGTCGCTTTTTTGCTGAGACAGATTCGTGACTATAACTGGTGAAGGTTTAAAGGTTGTACCGAGATATTTGCTTATAAAACTCGAATAAACGCATCATTCTTCTGGTTGGGCGGTTTTGCTGGTGTTGCTGGCATTTCATAGGGACCCACGCTCTTATTTGTAAACGGCAAATGGAAATTAAATGAGAAATAAAAACTCACCTGTTCTGTTCTTGAATCTGCTACGGAGAAATGTGAAATGAAAGTTGTTTCTACGATGCAAAAACGATGTTTGTGTCGGAGCTTTGTCCGTAAATTTCGCAAAGCTTTATTTTATGTGGTTTGTCTCGCATTTCACTGTTGATGTCACGCGGTTGTTATTATCGTCTCGCTTTTTACTGTTGGTTATTAATTTTTTAACAATTTTAGTTGACGCGCGCTAATTACTGTACCGTTAATTAATAAACCAACAGTGAAACGCCAGACGATAATGACAACCGCGTGACACCAACAGTGATATGCAAGACAAACCACAATTCAATTCAATTCTTTATTCACACTATATAAGATATTTACATAAGTGTACGTAGGTAGGAAAATAAAGTAGCTGACAAATAATAACGGTGTACGGTGTCCAAAGTAGCAAGAGCTTTCTTGTTGGACACCGTCATGCTTAAATAATTGGCAGCAATAAAGAGAGGAATAGAATCTCAAATAATATCAGTGGTAGAACATATAAGCAAGGTCAGATTTGGTTGGTTAGAAGACAGGATTTCCATTCTTTCTTAAACTTATGATATGGCAGGCACTTGAGACCAGGCGGTACAGTCTCCCAGATTTTTGGAGCGGAGAATTTAAAGGACGTCTTACCTAAGTTGGTGGATACTCTTGGCCTAAAATAGTTCAGATTGCTGACAAATCTTGTATTGTGATTGTGTATACGCGATGCTGGAGTCAGGATATCAAGGAAAATATCTGGAATGCTATCAGTCTCATTTCAGCTCATTTCTCATTCTATGTGTAAAGCAACATATTTTTAATTTATATATATTATCTAATTTAAGGATTGTTAGGAGTTAAAAGTAAGCATTGTGAAATTTAAAAGTAAGCACATAAAAGTAAGCATTGTGAAATTTACAGACAAAGCGCTGACACAAAGATCGTAACATTATTTCGTTTTTTGCATCGTAGAGCAACTTCAATTTCACTTTGCTCCCCAGCAGATTCAAGAACTGAACACTCCACAGATACGTTTTTATCTCTCATTTAATTTCCATTTGCAGTTTACGAGCGTGGGTTCTCTATGGTATTGTAGACTGTTCACAGTCCCCTATTTTTTCGTGAGATCGTCGAGATATAGCCCCGGTCTTACCGTTAATGGCGGCCATGTTGATTTTCCAATGTACCTAGGGGGTGGGCGTCGTGGATTTTAGCTGTCCCAAACCGCCCCCGCCCCCTAGGTAGTTTAGATACTCATGCAAGATGGCAGCTCGTAATGCAAAGCGTTCGATCTCGACGATCTTACGGAAAAATAGAGGACTGTGAACAGTCTAGTTCAAAAGCTTGGGCTTTGTCTGTAGTCCCCCATTTTTCTCTCTTCCCGCCGCGTGTCGCCTTTTCTCGCGTGGGGTGATTTTCACGCGCGCTCTGCTGTCCCTGAGGAAAAATGGAGGACTACTCGTAGTCTACTGTGACTCAACGTGTGACGTATGATCATAGCTCTTCTCTGATTGGATATTACTAAGAAGGCGTGAAAAATAGTCCGCGAAAGCTATTTCTACAGGAGCCGATTACTTATTTCTATAAATAATTTTTCGCCGGAAAGGGTCGACTCCAAGGGCTTATATGGGAGGTGAAGACTTCAAGTAATCGGCTCCTGAATGGTTTTGTTAATTCAGGCACAGGGAGCCCACACATTTTGTGTGTGTAACCGATTGTTATTTTATAGTAAATGTACTGGATTTACTGTTTGCCACACCAATAGCGATATATAAATCAATGTCAAATAGACGTTGAATTGCCTTACCAACAACTGCTCAATATAAAAATATAAATAGGAATTCGGTTTGGGAACCTTCACATACGCAACTAGCAAGGCAGTTCCTAACCAAGGAAGATGAATGACGGATCAGCCAGTGTTTTGCAAGGAAACCAACGCTTTACATACCTTTTTTGATTCCGGACTGAACTGCTTGTTTTACGTCATCGATGTTTGCTTTTACTTTCGCTAACTCACTTGTTGCAATTTTCACCTCTGATTCGACATTTTCCAATTTTGTCTCGACTTCTGCTGCTGCCGTTTTTACGCCTTCTACTTTTGTCTGTACATCTGTTATTGCCGTTAGTACGTCTGATCTGACTTCTTCCACTTTCGTTTGTACATCTGTTACTGATGTTCTGACGTCTGACCTGACTTCTTCCACTTTTGTCTGCACATCTGTTACTGCTGTTTTGAAGTCTGACCTGACTTCTTCCACTTTCGTTTGTACATCTGTTACTGATGTTTTTACGTCTGATCGTACGTTCTCAATTTGACTCTCGATTTGGTTGAGGTGATCACTGATTTGCTTAAACTTGATGTCAACATCTTTTTCTTTCTTCAACTCTTCTTCTAACTTTTGAAGCCTGGCAGTAGGAAAGTCTCCTTCTTCAAGCTTCCCGATCTCATCAATCCTGGTTGTGTCTTGTTTAAGTGCAAAAAACGCCTCTCTTGTTAATTTTATATAATAATCAAAAGTTGTCTTGTCAATCTTTTGGGTGCTTGTCTGGTGACACAGTGCGTTTCTTAGGAGACGAAGCTGATCTAACGCTAACGCAAACGTCTCGGCTTCGTTTCCAGGAATTAAAAGGACAGGGTGAAATGTTCCACTTGGTAAATGACGGGGCTTCACGTACAATTTGTGCAAAGTTGAAAGGCCTCCACTCCCATCCGGAATGGCAAAACTCTGAGCATAGAGAGTGGCTTCAAACAGCGCTGTGCAGTCCCACTCATAAAAAGATTTACCGGTTGGAACATATTTTGTCCTTCCACCCTCTTTACTTAGAAACATGTTGCGAACCAGAGGTGAGTCGTCCCATTTTTGAAAGCCTAATGTAGGAGCGACTTGATTGTCCCACATGTGAACAAAAACTTGGCGGAGGGCGATTGGAAATTCATCAAGTACGACAGATGAAAACTTAAAAAAGTTCAGTTGCTCCAACGAAAATGTAGCCATTGCGAGGATAATAATATCAATTTAAAAACACAGTATCATACGGTATGTTAGAAAGTAGGATACCAAACTGTCGTCGAACAATCAACCATTGTAAAGGGAGATAATCTGCAAAGATAAAGACAACAATGTAAAAACTTTGAAATGCACGTGAAGTAATTTATATCTAAATTTGTTTTTTTTAGCGAAAGTTATAATTAATTCTCTTCTAAATTCATAGATCAGCTCATCGCAATCTTTCATAACAAGCACTGAATAAAGAGATTAGATTCTTACGCATAATGCACCCAACATTAGCCTGATCCCCTGGCGGGGGACCCCAGGGAAGGAAGGGAACAAAAACACACAGACACAGAGGAAATCCCCTCTCCCAGAGGGAATCCCACAGTGAGAGTGCGAGAAGAACATAAAGATGAACCAGGTCACCTCACTTGTAAAAAAAAGCTTTACCTTAAAGGAATTAGCAGTTAGAAATTAAAGTGTCAACTTATCAATTCATTCAATTTATTCACAACCACCATAATACCCTGCTGCTAATACACAGCTCAACCACTGCTAGGTTTGCTTTGAATTTTCACAGAATGTTTATCACGATACTGACAACCATTTGACTTGCCTTGCGCTGCAGTGAGAATAGGTCATTTCCGAGTTCCCCGGGCCTCTGTTTCAAAACGAGGATAGGTGCTCAGCCTTTGATATGGAAATCATTCTCATTCTCATGCAAATAAAACTCATTTTCATAAGAAAGGTTGTGCACCTAGCCTCATTTTGAAAGTGAGGGTTTTTGGAACTCGGAAGTGACCTATTTGCACGGCATACAATTGATTAACAACAAGTTATTATTAATAACAAAGCGCGTGATGAAAGCAGTGTGAAGTGGAATATATTAACACCGTTGACGTCATAGCGTTTTTGTCTTTATCTCATAAATAAAATGCGGGGAATCTCACGTGCTACTTTTAGGTGGTTTAACCTGTTGGACAGGTTTTTCTTGATCAATGAAGGTCTTGTTTTCGGATTTGTTGACCAAAACTAAGAGAAGTATTCATTGGTTGATCCATGTTATCGATTGAATAATCACTAAGGTGACTGTGACTTAAAAATAACTGAGTCGATCGTAACATAATTATGCAATTTATTTTTCCTGCTGTTTTCATTGTGCAACAAATTGTGCCAGTTCCCGTTCACTGATTCTTGGCCCGCAAATAGTACATATTTAATGAGAACGAGGGCAAACTACTTTTTTTACCTCGAAAAAAATGGTCTTCTCCTTCGTTTTTGCTTTTGCACGTTTCTATTGCTTTCCCACAACCACCACCACCACTACCACCACCAGATTTCAATTGTTTCTCCCACTACTCCACCTACACATTATCGACCGTATATCGAGCCCATCTCGACCTCACATGTAGCCTTCATCTATCTTTCCTTACACCGCAGTTACATTTGTCCGGGTCCCTAACCTAGGAAACGGCCTTAGGAGCTATTAGGCCACTAAACTAGGCCATGTGCCAAACATCCTGCATACTGCTAGGACTAGCATGTCGGCAATATGTGCTTGTATGCGTAATGAGATGTGATGGTGAATATAAAACCTGGTCAATGTATTCACAAGCAAACATGTTTCCCCGCGGTGCAATTCCTGTAAACCAAATGTCCATCATTCCCCTCTCAAGGGTAAAACTATAATTTTCGAATCGCGCTGTACGTCCGCTCACAAAGTTGCATTTGGCCCGTGGGGTCCCTAATAAAGGGAATGTTTTATGATTGTTTTATGATTTACTTCAACAACGAAGCACACAGTGTAACCACTGTATCAGTGGTATCGACCGCTTCTTGAACACTATTTGCCGTTCATATTTTGAAACACCTGTGGAACTTCGAGACAAAAGGTCTGAGGGCGAAACTAAATGTTTATTACTGTTATTATGCTAATCGCAATTTAACCCAGCAAGCGTCAGTACTAAGGCTTTAATGGTAGGGATGAAAAATATTATTAAATCCATCGAAATGGAGTGGTGAAAGAAAGTAAATAACGTTTTGTTGAACTGATTTGTTTTTACGATGATTAAAAGAGGCGAAATTTCTACAACTTGGATGCTCTATCATGATCATTATTAAATGCAGGAACTTGTTTTGAACAATCTTATGGTAATTTTGATTTTGTTCACCGTTCAGTGCCTCTTTAAATAAAGAATGAACTGCATGGAAAAGGATTCAGTTCACTATCTGAAGTAGTCAGTAATGTTGACTTAAAGTTTGTTAACTATGGAATAACATTATTGTTTTCATCGTAAAACTGGCACTTGTTACAATGGACTCTATAAACTACAAGAATATAAAAAAAACATCCAAATGATCTTTCCCTTTTGTCAATAACTGCTCCTGTCGATGGATGACTGATTTTCTAGAAAATTCTTTTATACGGCTCGCGTGGGACTTTCTCAAATGAAAAGAGGCGAAAGTGAAAGACGAGTGTATTCAATCAATGAAACTTCAGCTGCATCCGCTATTGTAAAATCTGCTCTGAACATTACTACTACATGTGACAGTTATTACCAAACCACAAATAAGCGCTAGAATAATAACCCTAAGGTACAAATTAACATGGACAAACTAAAAATATGCTTTATGTGGACTCTACATGAACTTCCGCTTTCAAACTTTAACTATCCCTAGCTCAACTGACAAACAGAGAAATAAAGAACCATTCACTCAAATGATGAACTATCTATGGTGACACTTGGAAAAGTACCAAGAATAGATACCTTTCGCAACATATTGTTAGAAATCAAGTCGAAGCAAGTGGTCAACAATCGCGTGATCAACAGTGCATTAATTGAATCACTTCGATCCGGAGAGAACTTAACTTTAATTGCGCATTTTAATGGAAAAGAATGAACAATTCTAAAAGGATAGAATAGTATTTGACATACCGATGTGCTAAGTTAAGTCCAATGCAACTGTCATCAGTCCACTTAGGGTACTGGGCGCGATAGTCAGCAGAATACTCGAACGCTGATTAGCCGCATAACTAAAAAAATTCTGCACAAAATTGGCCTAGGGAGTCTGGATAAAAGAATGCTAGATGAGTTTAGCTCCAGCCTCGTTTCCAGGGGCCCTTAAGTTTACCCAAACCGGCGTAGACACAGGGAACCAGGATCACAAAAAATCACACATATGTTTAGTTAATAAACTACAATCATAACAAAATCAAACCAAAAATCTTACAAAAGTCTATGACCAGTTCTTGTCAACAGTCACATGATGACTGAAGATTTATGGCACAAGATAAGTGCTGTTGCTGACTGGAGGAAGAACGTTGAAGAAAGAAGAAGTTCAAAGAACGGGAAAACAGAAGCCGGAAAGAAGACAAGAGTTTTTAATAGAGCAGGATGAAGTGTTCTAGAATCAATAACACTGAGCGCGTGGGGTGAGTACTGTCAGGAGCCCATAACCCGGAGCGAGCAACTTCCATACTAGGCCTATGTCCCGGCATTTTTACGGACCACCATGTCTATGAGCGCATTTGAAGTATAAGATATCAAAAAGAAAAACTAAAAGTGATTAAAAAGCAAATAATTAACAATAAATGAATGAGGCTGAGTATCTTATGAAGAATTATGGAGATCGAGGAGGGTGTTATCGGCCGAGGCGGATAACACCCTCCGAGATCTCTATAATTCTTCATATGATACGAAAGCCGAATTCAATAATTTTTTTATTATTCATTCAAAACAATTCCTAGTTTAAAAACATGGCTAACACATGCTTACCTCCATCAATGTTAAGTTCATCTTCGATAGTGCCATTTAGGGTTGTTCAGCTCCGCAAATATTCTCCAAATGGCAGATGTCGTCCTTCGAGTCATCTTCTTGCTGTTCTTGCCATATTTTCAGTAATTTTTTTGGCTAGTTCTTACTCTTGAAACGAGTGAAATGTCCGCCATTTTCCAAGTTCACAACTAAAACAACTCAACCTCATCCCCAGGTCTACTCGGTTAACGGTGCATTAACTCCAAGAACGCTGCATTTTTGACGTCATTTCCTCGCTAAACCCAAAATTCTTCCAAATTTGGTCATCCGTAACTGGTTATGGTGAATTAAACGTGTGCTTTTAGCCAATCAGAATCGGGGAAATATTTTGAATGAATAATAATATCATTTTCAGGTTGTAGGTTTTGCTGACTGGTTTGTGGAATTTAAAATTCGCGCCAAAACCGTTCTGAAAATAAACTGTTCCGTGAAAACTCAGTGGCGCAAGGGCGCGGACGTTGCTCGCTCCGGGTTATGGGCTCCTGATGCTGTATTCTTTATAAATGGCGATTCATTATCAGCACTAGAACTCCAATCAATTTCACAGTTCGTGAAAACATCGTCCGTCGTGTTTCTCCAAGGCAAATTAAGTTGACTCCCTTTTACGAGAAAATTAAATAAGACTTGTATTAATTGCCAAGCACTATTGAATGGGAAGGAGATGGAGAAAACGGGCATGCACCAAAATACTAGGCTCCACGTAGGAGTTTACTTGTGTTTTCGTGACGTCTACTTTTTAAGGAGCTGTTTTCGAAGAGAGAAGGTGCACCCTGCTGCCAGGGTTACCCCCGTGACCGTCCTACCTGTATTCGCTATGTGTGTTTCAGAGGCTAATACTCATGCAAATGACGGAACGCTTTAAGCTTATCTCTCTTGATTTTGGTTTTGCGTAAGGTGACCGGTCGTTTCGCTCACTTCCCGTTTGCTTACGTCGAAGTCAACGAAACGAGCGCTGCGCATGTATATACTGTCCTGTGAGGAGAGATTTTCCTTGAATTCTTTATTTGCCACGAATTTCATATATAGCTTTCAAATATTCGCTTTGACGTTGTTCTTAGTAATTCATCAGGAATTTGCATAAAGAAGTTTCAGCTCCGCAAAAAGGCTCGTGCCATTTTTATTATCCTTTGTTTCACTTGCTTTGTGTTCGCTAGGTAATAATCATAGAAAAGCCAACAGTGTTCCTTA